AAAAAAAAAAAAAAAAAAAAAAAAAAAAAAAAAACATAAAAACAAATCCACGACTTATTATTATATTGTCGTCGTACATAGGGTCTACAAGATAATTACCAAATATATTTATAATATTTGTCATGCTCCTGCATCACATTACGCGTATTTTATTCTCATTGTGTTATTTAAATTATATATCATGCAATAATCGTTCAATAATTCTCTATATTGTCATATTGTAATTTATCGTAAACGAAGCATTAATAAACTATAAGAATTATTATAATATATTTATCGATCGTAGTCCCGTGAGATTCTAAGAAATCATTTACAATACCGAGCAATTTCACTGATTCTGAGTAGTAAATTTTCATTTGACGAAATTTATCTCGTAAATTATTTGCTCAAGCGAGTACGCGCAACATACATTTGTTATATTACTCATTCTCGAAATCTTCTTACCGTTATTATTCTTCTCCATTTTCATTTGCTTTGCTTTTGGTAATTTTTTTTTAATACTCCTCTACCGCACTAATTCATTTTCGCCGTCCCGTACAAACGAACTTTACAAACGAACATGCTTTTTCGATTTGGATACTCCATCCGTACACATAATGTACGGAACGTTTAATCAAACATCTCATTGGAAGTGTTGTCGTTAGTAAACTGTGTCGGCCTATTTTATCAAAATTTCATCTTTTTATCGTAAATATGATGCAACTACTCAACTCGGAAATAATTAACGCGAAATATCATAATGGCAATATTGTTAGTATGTTGGCGAATATTTCAGTCCGAGACTCATTGTACATGGGTACATCGCAATCTTTGCGATATATCGCATTGTGCCGCGTTCGTAAAAATTTTCTCCGTGCAGCGATGGAAGATTGACGTTACGCCAAATATAACTTGTACAGCTGGGAAAGCTCGACGCCATCAACGACGCCATCGATGACGCCACTAACAAAGTAAAACGGCAAGATCTGATTTTATCGATCAAACGTGCGCCACGAAACCGCCTACAAAATAAGTCACACGAAACCTCACATTTCCGCGAAAGTACCGGTACGCCCGTTGCACGCAACGAGTACGCATTTTCTTCATTTCTATTAATGTTCTGCGATTTGCTGAGCGGTCTAACGTTCGGGACGAAGGGAGTGGGTGTGATGGTGCCGTGGGACTTTGAACGATCGCGATTTAAACTATGGAAATCTGTTCGACAAGCGACTCGCTACTCACCTGGGATTTGCCACTTGATCGCTCGACAGAACTTTGAAGCACTTGGCAATCTGCATCGGTATGAGGCCCATAACGATACTGACGAGGCACAGGGTTACCATGGTGACGGCCTTGGCGATGAGCACAGCTCCGACGTTCCACTCGTCGCCGTCGTCCTCCTCGGCGTGTCCGTGTTCGTAATCCCGATCGTGAAGCTGGCTGATGTTGAGCGCTTCGACGGCCTTGAGGCCGAGCATGTGTACAAGGTCGTCCGATCCTTTCTCGCCGATCTGCATTATGAATCGGCACGTTCAGCGATTGTGCGTTCGAGGACCCGTGCTCCAGCACCCACTCGGACGCGCTGCACCGTCCTCTCGGCGACCTGGCTATGATGAATGAGTTCCGGGGCTCGCTAGTGGACGCGCGGCTCTTCGAGCTTGCGTCGCCCGATCGCTGTTTTATATTAAAAAGAAACGCTGTATTGATCCACGGGAATACGAAAACAATAACAGCGCACGAAGGAGTGGGAGGCGCGCAGCCGGGGAAAATATTTGAGAAAACAATTTTGCGTTAAAGTCGAGCTCAGAATGCGGAAGCGCTCGGTGCTGGCAGAGACGCGCAGAGACGCGCAAAGACGCGCTTCTTCTCCCTTTCGTTGGCCGGTGCTTCTTCTCGCGTGCGTGCGCGCGCGCTAGACAGAGATAGATAGATAGATAGATAGATCGATAGAGAGATAGACAGATAGATAGATAGATAGATAGATAGATAGATAGATAGATAGATAGATAGATAGATAGATAGATAGATAGATAGATAGATAGATAGATAGATAGATAGATAGATAGATAGATAGATAGATAGATAGATAGATAGATAGATAGATAGATAGATAGATAGATAGATAGATAGATAGATAGATAGATAGATAGATAGATAGATAGATAGATAGATAGATAGATAGATAGATAGATAGATAGATAGATAGATAGATAGATAGATAGATAGATAGATAGATAGATAGATAGATAGATAGATAGATAGATAGATAGATAGATAGATAGATAGATAGATAGATAGATAGATAGATAGATAGATAGATAGATAGATAGATAGATAGATTGATTGATAGATAGATAGAGAGAGAGATGAAGAGAGATGGAGAGAGAGAGAGAGAGAGAGAGAGAGAGAGAGAGAGTTGGAGAGAGTTGGAGAGAGTTGGAGAGAGTTGGAGAGAGTTGGAGAGAGATGGAGAGGGAGTTGGAGAGAGTTGGAGAGAGATGGAGAGGGAGTTGGAGAGAGTTGGAGAGAGATGGAGAGGGAGTTGGAGAGAGTTGGAGAGAGATGGAGAGGGAGTTGGAGAGAGTTGGAGAGAGATGGAGAGGGAGTTGGAGAGAGTTGGAGAGAGATGGAGAGGGAGTTGGAGAGAGTTGGAGAGAGATGGAGAGGGAGTTGGAGAGAGTTGGAGAGAGATGGAGAGGGAGTTGGAGAGAGTTGGAGAGAGATGGAGAGGGAGTTGGAGAGAGTTGGAGAGAGATGGAGAGGGAGTTGGAGAGAGTTGGAGAGAGATGGAGAGGGAGTTGGAGAGAGTTGGAGAGAGATGGAGAGGGAGTTGGAGAGAGTTGGAGAGAGATGGAGAGGGAGTTGGAGAGAGTTGGAGAGAGATGGAGAGGGAGTTGGAGAGAGTTGGAGAGAGATGGAGAGGGAGTTGGAGAGAGTTGGAGAGAGATGGAGAGAGAGTTGGAGAGAGTTGGAGAGAGATGGAGAGAGAGATGGAGAGAGAGATGGTGAGAGAGAGAGAGAGAGAGAGAGAGAGAGAGAGAGACAAAGAATTGTGGCGAGACGGCGCCCAAAGCTGGCGGCTCGTCTTCTACGACCGATCTCGCGATAAAGGCTCGATCGTCCGCGACGATCGATCAACGTATTTCGGACGCCCGGCCGCTTGAGCGAAATCGCGATAAACCGTTCCCACCCGCGCACTCGATGTCTTCTCTCCGTAAAATTCTCTGACTATATTCGCGATTAATGCGATTATTTACGCTGGGTGTCTCGGCATAATAAAAAGCCTCTGCAAAGCAATAGAGTCGCGCGCGAGCGCAGTCGCGCAAATATGAACAAGTCGTAGTTGGAGATACGCGAGTGCGGCAATCGTATTTCTGATTTACGTCGGCAAATAAGTAAAGTGTAATATGTCGTGGGTTAAATAATCTCGATGGCACAAGATTTAGCGGACGTCTTGCCTAAAGTGAGATAATTCAAATTGCTTCCTTGGTTAGAGCATTTTGAGCTTATGCGCTCGTTAAAGAGCTTGTAAAATATTATCTCTCTTGACTTTTGTACCGAGCAACTCTGCCAGCCGTTCGAATTGTTCTTACGATAAAGTGTTATCGACCCATCGGCATTTATCGAAGGAAAAATCTACTCACTGCGAGAGCATCTTTAAAAGTCGGGATGACTTTACTACGACTATAAATGGTGGTCGCGGTTGGCGTCGAGCCTTACGGACGCGTCTGACACATTGCGCTTATTCGTACAAATCCGCGGCTTATTTATGACGAATTGCTCGGATAGCGGCGGACTAACAGCGGTTTCAGTGTCGGTGAGGGGTGGGGGTCGGGGTGGGAATCGGGAGGGGGTATGGAGATCGAGAGATCGAGAGAGAGAGAGAGAGAGAGAGAGAGAGAGAGAGAGTACAGAAAAAAATATAAACGGCAAGCGTAGGAGTGAGGAAGCTCGAACAAGCGTGTACATGCACGTATAAATGCGAATGTGTACCTATTGTGGTGGATGGGGAGGGGGAGAGGGACACAAGTGGATGCGCGTGTCTTCACGTTGATTTTTAGGCTCGGACTCGGCGTCTACTCGGCGCCGCGCCACCTAATACACGTTTAACGGGGCGATATTGCAAGAAGACATACACCGCCGACCATACTACCGCGCAACCTGTCGAGCGACGTGGGGGAGAGAGAGCGAGAGAGAGAGAGAGAGAGAGAGAGAGAGAGAATCTAGTTGTTATATAACGCGAGTGAGACGGTGGGCAGCTTGGCTTGAAATTTTAAGTGCCTCCCATTAACGACCTAGGCGTCGTTAATCGTTGCCTACGTTCTCCATCTCTCTTTGTCCCCTCGATCCCACTACTCCCTCGCGGAAGTTCGACGGAAAGGCACCGGCTCTTTCCACTCGCGAATCTTCGGCGCTTTTTTCTCGTCGTCGAAAAGCCAATGATTAGTCGAGCTAACCGTAAGCGCTGGCCTCTTTAGAATTTTGGGAACAAGTGGACACGATTTCTACAGC